TTTGCTCTTCAGTTTAATGTGTTTACGGGGGGAGTGTGCGTGTGTTCTGTGCTGTAGTGATATAACTTAAAATTAAGTTGAATTATGGTCCAGTTCTAGGAAGATAAGGTACCGTACAAGGGGATATAGGACTGTTACTGACAGTTGCCTCCCAAATACTGCAACAGCTATTCTTTTGAGTGACATTTTTTGTAATCTGCAGCAAACTAAGGATCTGTCTGTAAAACAGGAAGTTTTAGGGTTGGCTAATTAAACAGTTGAATAGGTGTTGTAGAATCTGCTGCGGTATGAATGAATCTTCTAGAAGAGTTTGTAATCTACTGTCTGTTGTTGGATAGCATTCTTTCTCGATAAAAAATTCTTGGAGAAAATATGAAAAAGGTAGCCGTAGTTCTTTCTGCAACAGTCATCTCTCTAACCCTTTATTATTACAATAAAATAATATAAAAATAAAAAACCGAAGCAGAAAGAGAATGGTTAAGTAAACTGACAAACACAGAATTGCAAGAACAAAAGAAATAGTTTTGAGGATTTGCCAAATACAACAAAGTAATATATAGAGTGGTCTTTCTGATTCTATTTGAGAAACAGAATGTTTGTGAATTTGTGGTTATATTTAGAGAAATATTATGAAGAAACCAGAGGGCTTTTTCTTTCATCTTTTTTGGCAGATGATCACTGTGAATGCTTCATTGTTCCCCAGTTCTATTACTAATTCTTTGATAGCAGTTGGAAGTGATGGTCTTCAAGAAAGAGACAGAATGGTTCGAGCATGTATAGCCATTATCTGTGAACTAGGTAAGACAACTGAAAGATAGTTAAGAAAAATTTTGACATGGTTGTCATCAGTTTTCTAAGAGATTCTGTTCTATGGGTTTGTATTAAATGGATTGTGTTAAAACAATTATGGGTATTTGTTTAAAAATTAATTGGATGTTAAGTGTTCTTAATGTAGTTTCATGGATTTTAGTTATTAGTTTGATATAAACCAAAATCACTTTAACTTGAAATCAAAATCTCTTAAATGAAGTACCTGAAGATTTCAGGTGCTCTTCATTCCTTTAAGTCTTGCCAATTTTTTATTTACCTCAAAAACATTTACCTCCTGCAACTGATATTTATAAAATTAGTGGATTGGAAGTAGGGAGAATTCCATACACGAGATGCTGACAAATGTACAAGAGTTCAGAGGACTACAAAACATTTTCTTTTAAAAATTTTTACAGTGGGTACTGTGGTTAGCTGGCTGCTAGCAGTCAGTATTTGTGTCCAGGTAAAGGCTATCTGGACAGTTGTTTGTACTGCCTCCCTATACTTGCCTGTGAGTGCTGATTTTTAAAGTTTTTTCAAACTCAAGCAATGAGAAGTAACTTCAGCAGTGCTTTCAAGATACAAACTTTTGTTTTAAAGAAATAAAAACTCTGTTACTCTTCTATCTTCTAGTATAAATATTTTATCCATGTCAGTCCAGTGAAGCACAAAACCTTTTTGCAGGGAAATCCAGAAACTACTGTATGGAACTTATGGTTGGAAATAAGTTGGGAAATTGCTCTGCAACGGTGACTGACCAGTATTTTTGTTCATGATAGCTAATCCAAAATCTGACATGTTTTTCCTTTATTTAGCACTTCAGAATCCCGAGGTGGTGGCTCTTCGGGGTGGTTTAAGTACCATCTTGAAAAATGTGATTGATTGTCAGCTAAGCCGAATAAATGAGGCTCTGATAACTACAGTTTTGCACCTCATTAATCATCCAAAGACCCGACAGTATGTGCGAGCAGATGTAGAATTAGAGGTGGGTTCAGTTTTACTTGTTTAGTGACAGAAATTAAACATTGTATTACTAATGAAAATGTTTAACTTTCATCTCAGATTTCACCCTCTGTGTTAGTGCAAAATGCTTAAAATGCAACATTGTAGGCTAAGAGCATAATTGTTTATAAAACAGGAATAACATGACAGATTGGAGTGGGACTGAGGAAAGGGCAAGACCCATTCAACTGTATTCTCATGTGAAAGTAATGCATGTCTTTCTTTTGTTTAGCGAATTTTAGCTCCTTACACAGATTTTCACTACAGGCATAATCCAGACACAGCAGAAGGACAACTCAAGTAAGTGTTAGTGCTGCTACTTGTGCTACCAGTTGTGTTCATGGTATTGGAATTAAACTATTTTTCTTCCTAAAGTGAAAATAAAAACAATGAGCTAAAAGTAAACTACTTGAAGTTGAATATACTAGGTTAGAATACAACTTCCTAAAATACTCTTAAGTATTTAAGATTTAAAAATGCTTGTTTAGCCTGGAGAAGAGAAGGTTGGGGGACACCCCCTGCCCCCAAATTGCAGCCTTTTTAATACCTGTGAAGATGTTATCAAGAAGATGTAGCCAGGGCCCTTCACGGTGGTGAATGGTGGGAGGACAAGAAGCAGCAGAGAGAAACTGCAACAAGAGAGGCTGTGTATAAGAGTAGAGGACAGGAATTTTCTGTGAGGCCAGTCATGTGTTGGAACAGGCTACCCAGAGAGGTCCTGCAGCCTTCACCCTTGAGAGTTTCTAAGACCCAGCTGGATAAAATCTTGACTATAACCTGGTCCAGTCTTGCAGATGACAAATTCTTTGAGCAGGAGTTTAGGCTAGAGACCTTCTGAGATTGCTTCCAACTTGTATTATTCAGTTTTTTAAGTTATCAAATGGCATTAGAAGTTTAGATCTGGGTAACTGGATAAGATACAAATCTTTAGGTATTTTCTGTAGACTCGCTGTCAGGGGAGGTGCAGAGTGATTAATCTGACTGCATATAGGTGTTTACTTTGTGATGTTATCCTTCAACCGTGGAAGCTCCCTTGAAAAAGGAAAAGTGACAATACTTAAAAGTTCTAGTCTTTGTGTGTGTATACGGATTGCATAAATACATATCCACACACATATATGTGTATGTAAAAGATTTTTCTTACTCTGGGTTTTCTCCCCATCTAAAATCTCGGTTAAATGCTCTTTGCTTGCTATGTTAGTAACAGTGTTTTATAATAACTAATTATATTGTGACATTTGTTGTTTTAATGACAGGGAGGACAGAGAGGCACGGTTCCTAGCTAGTAAAATGGGAATAGTGGCAGCATTTCGTTCATGGGCAGGTAAGATATTTTGTTTGTTTGAAGTTGGATGATTGGAAGGGGAATTTTACTTTCTAGTATAAAATGGTTGTTTGTTTAAACACAGAATCCGTCTTATTTGACATGTCTGATTTCTATCAGTACCTTCCTACAATCGTACTAAGATGTCTTTTGATATTGTTCAATGGGAGACTGCAGACATAGTTTTCTTTGACCAACTCTACTGACAAGATGCAGCTTCCCTGCCCCCATGTAGTACTTGATGGTACTTCTTGACATTTGATGGGTGAGAGGATGTTGAAAATAACATCATATTATAAGAATTTGCCTCTGAGATGATTCTGCCACTGTAAATAAGAAATCTTTACCGTTATGTTACTTGCCATGGCACTTTCACTGTTACATGTTCTTCCTATTGTTGAAGACTAACATCTTAAATGTTTCTAGTACAAAAATGTCCTTATGTTCTCAGTTTTCCCAGAGGACATGTAGCTACACTAGGCTTGAGAGTGTTCTTAGCTTTTGTTTTGGCTTTTTTTTTTTTTCCCCCCCCTGCCTGTATCTGCTTTGTTTTACTGTTCTGCTGTCCTTGTGTTCCTGACTGGGTTATTCTTCAGAGCTGATGGTTACTATGTTCTTTATCCTTATGCACAGTCATGTCTTTAGAGATAAAACTGGGGCATGCAGCGATAGCTGCATGCACCTCAATCTATTCCTGCATTGCAGTTGGGATGTGACCACTGTGTGCTCTTGGGGGAAGGGAAAAAAAAGTTCTGAGGTGTACTATGGAACATATTTAAATTCTCTTAGTGTATCTGTGCCCGCCTGTGCTTGTCTTAAGTTTTTGTGATGTGGAAATTTTGAAATTAAGGACTTCAAGTTCATATAAAGCATGTGCCATTACAGTTAAATTTGTAGTAGTAAAAAAAAATAGATGAGTAGGTGACATTTTTTGTCTGTTAGTAATATTTAAAGAATGAAGGTTTGGGTTTATTTATAATACATAAGACAAAAAGATGTGCAAGCCTGAATTCTTTTTGTTTAAACATTTAAAGTTGTGTTTTGGAGAAACTTGTTTGTTTCCTGGATAGCATGCTTCTGTAAGTTTTAATTTATTCTGTGAAGTATGAAGAGAAATGGTCAAGGAAATGAGCAAGGTTACTGTCTTTGTAGCCACATTTTTAATAAAGAGGCTGAAAATTGGTGTAAGCTTCAGGTGATACTCTGTAACAATGTGAAGGTTTTCCCTGTTAATATTGAAATACTAAACTAATTGAGTAAAAATATAGTGTATAAGGAGTAAATTATAAGGGAGGCTCGGAGATTTAATGCCAAGTTGAATCTACTGTGTTGAAACTTCTGGAGATGAGCACTGGTCATTTGGGAAAAGATGGTTTAAAACCATGCACGGAGAATGTTATTCCAAGTATGTTTAAACTCGCTGGTTAGAATTAACTTGAGATTAAATGGAACTAAAAAATTTGTTAGATTAAAATACAGCTTTTGATGCAGAAACTGCTCACAGATCTGCCAAGGTGATGCAGATCTTTCAGCTTTAAGATTCATTCTTTATTGATAATTTTGTTTTTTCTTTTTGCTACTTCTTCCTTGTGAGTGTTTTTGCAGATGATTTGAAAGTACTGTTCACAGCAGAAAAGGCAAAAGTAACTGTAGTTTCTAATGAGGAAACAAAGTTTTGTGATTTGGAACTTTCATTAAATATTGCTGATCAGAAAGGAGTTGACATTACAAAAGTGAAAATACTTGTGATTAGCAGTTTCTGTCATCTGTGCTTGTACTAAAACTAGAAAACAAATTTAACACTAAGTCTAATGCTTTCTTGGTGAGGGAATATTATTATGTGCTTAATGTTTTATAGGTATTATCAGCCTGTGCAAACCTGGAAATTCTGGGATTCAGTCTCTTATTGGGGTACTCTGTATACCAAATATGGAAATACGGGTAGGTAGTAAATATTTAGTACTGATGTAGGAATAATATTGGATATTTTATATTAATGTATTTTTATGAGGTCACTACCCGCAAGTTTTTGACCCCCAAGTTCAAGACTATAATTCTATTATAGGATTCCTGTAGGATATAGGATCCTATAGGATTCCTATAGGATAGAGAGTAGAATCACACTCTATATGTGTGAGAGGAGAGAGTGAAGGAGAGAAAAAAGTAATAAAAAATAAGTATGTTATTAAAAACAACACTGAAACAGACACCAATTTTATCACTCATTAGAATCTGAACTTCAATATTAGTAGTGAACAAAACGTCAGTTTTTGTAAATCTGTAAAATTAATGTTGGGATTCGGGTTTTTTTTGTAGCGAGGTCTGCTTGAAGTTCTCTATGATATATTTCGCCTTCCTCTCCCTGTTATCGCAGAAGAATTTATTGAGGCACTGCTCAGTGTAGGTAAGTATTTAGAACCAGTTCACATAAGAATTGCTTGTTAAGCTTTTCTACAAATTTGAACCCTTTATTGTTTCTTCTCTGTTGTAAGTTATGTCAATATTAACTGTTTCGTCACTGAATTCATTGGGTGCTCTGAAGTCCTGTTTAGAATTCTTTATCAACAGCTAAATGTTGTAAGTCTGATAAAAAAACACCAATGGAGCGTAATGGGGTCTTTACACGAAAGACCGTTAAATGCGTTACTACAAATTAAACTTCTTTGAAGTGTTAGAAATGTTAGTAATGTAGAAGCGTTAGTGAATGTTGCAGAAAAGTCTTTCCTGTATGTTGTGTATCTGCTATCTCTCTCCACTGCACTTTAGGAGACTTTTGCTTTTCCTAGGGCTACTGTATAATTTTTCTGTCTTTATATTTTGCAGAGATAATCTTTTATCTTTACAATTACTCCTTTGTAAACCAAAGAGTATCCTCTGGTTTGTCTTTCAGTGTAAAAGTATGAGCCCAAAAGGAGCAGGTTTCGACCTGTGATGCTCCAGCAAGTCTCTTCTCCAAACTCTGGTTATAAATGTTTTGTCATGCAGTTGATTATAAAAGCTTAATCCTTGTTCCATGTTTATAAGTAAATAAAGAATTTTTTTGTCGCAGACTTGCTACTTTGTGCATATACTTTTTAAAACTTTACGTGTTAAAACATTGTCTGTTAAAGAAGTTTAATGTGCTTATGAATTGGAACTGTCATTATTTTGATTGATACTTACATGAAATCTTTGTCCTAGCTTTAAAGTTAGCCTTGCTTTGTTTAGGAGTGTGGACTAAATGACTTGTTAGAGGTTCCTTCTGACAAAATTTTCTATAATTTGAAACCTGAAATAACATTTGATGGGAAGAGCTATTCTGTACCTACATACAAGGTAGTGTCCCTGGAAGTGTTTAAGGCCAGGTTGGATGTGGCTTTGAGCAACCTGGTCTAGTGGAAGGTGTCCCTGCACATGGTAGGGGATTTGGAACTAGATGATCTTTAAGGTCCCTTCCAACCCAAACCATTCTATGATTCTATGATAAAACCTTAAAATAACACCATGAAATCCAATGTTACAATTACCAATGTCCATATTTTCTAATTCTAGATCCAAGCAGGTTTCAGGACTGCTGGAGACTTTCTGATGGCTTTGTAGCTGCTGAAGCTAAAACTATATTACCCCATCGAGCAAGGTCCAGGTGAGCATTTAATGAACTTAGTCCAAACTCTTGTTTTTGTTTTGTGGTGGTGTTGACAAAATATTTGTTGGTTTTTTTTGCAGACACAGTAAGAAATTAATTTCCTAAACTCTTTCCATATTTTGTTCTCCTTAGGCCTGATCTTATGGATAATTATTTGGCTTTAGTGCTTTCAGCTTTTATTACCAATGGACTTCTAGAGGTAACTAATGATTTTAAGTTTGAATAGATGCTTGCTACTTTTTCATATAAGCATTAAAATAAGATATTATACATTAAATGTTACAATATTTTTTCAACTTTTTGAAGGGTCTGGTTGAAGTGATCACAAGTAGTGATGACCATGTATCTGTTAGAGCAACTATCCTTTTAGGAGAACTTCTGCACATGGTAAGTAAAACTTTTTGCTGAGAGTAAGTATTAGTAGCTAGTTGTAAATACGTATTTCCTATTACAGCTTTGAATTTATGTTACAAACTCGGAACATCAGCTCTTCATCAGAATAATGGGTTAATTTACTTTACATCTTTTGGCACTTTGTGTATTAAAAACATTATGAATCAATAAGAAGGCCATCTGGAATGTATTGAAAGTGATAGGGCTTCTGCGCCAAGGATAGTCCCCACCTCCCAGACTCTCACCAACCAGTACACGTCCTTGCCTCGGTATCCAGGTATATTTTTAAGCTGGAGTCCTGCAAACTCACCCGTCAATTACTGTGTTTGGGAAAAGGACCATTGCTGATTTCTGCTTTTCTTAGAATGACAGTAGCTCCCTGGCAGTGTGTTTAGCTTTCTGCCTCACAGGCTAGGCAGATAAAACTTTTTTTGTGTGTTCAGCTTGATATGGCTGGGCCACTTGATATTACTCATTCAGGCAACTTTGTGGATTGCTCTTTCAGCATTGCTGTGAGTAGCCCCTGCTACTGAGAAGCTGAAGGGACCTTGCTTTGATCTGCTTCTGTCTACCTAACATATCTTTTACAATAGCTTTTCTTTCTTAACCTAAACTATTTTGGTGTAGAAATGATAAGTCATGTACACTCCAGTGCTACCTTTCAGCTTCCTCAAGAGCTTAGTCATATGTGAAGTGATATGATTTACCTTTCTTCCAAAACAGTACTTTTTCACATCCTTTCTTGATGGCAAGAATAGCATCTGCAGCTGAGCACTTTTTGATCTGTTTCCTTGTGTTGTTTTTTTAATCTTTTTTCCAAATAAACAACTTTATAAGAGATGGTAAGATTGGGAAAAACAACTTTGTCATGCAAAAATTTGAATACGAGTTATAAGACATGGTCTGCATCTTCATATTATCAACTCATTTCATTGGTGTTTAAGACTGCAAAAAATAAGATAATTGTCTTCAGGATTGTGTATTACTATAGTGATTTACAATGTATCAGCTCAACAGCGTGGTTCATAACCAAAACAAATCTCTCCTTAGTCTCCTCAGTGATTTTTTTTCTTCAAATAATTGGCGGAATTTCTTGAGTGTTCAGTCAGACATATAGTTTAAAAAGAGGAATCTGTAGCAACATAGTCTGTTTTGTTTCCAATGTACTTTTGAATGGGAATGGCTGTTACTGACATTTGAGTGTGCTGCAGAGCATAGCTATTTTTCAGTTTTCTGAAAATGTGATTCATTAGTCAGAGATGATTGTTTATCAGAATACTGAACAAACATTTGTACTTTTATTTAGTTTTAAGAGATTGAAGTAATTATTTATCTTCATTATTCCTTAGTTTCCAAAAATATTTGCAGAGCTACCTATGTTTCCCAAAATAAAAACAATTAAATGTCTAGTAACTTAGGAAGTTATATTAGTTCATCAAATGTTTTGGTTGGTTTTTTTTTTTTTTGGGGGGGTGTGGGGGCAGTAACAATAGTAGTCAAAAGTTTTGAATTATGAAGATGAGAAGGCCCTGAAAGCTAAAGTTGTCTTAAATTACTTTCAATTGTATTTCGGATTGATGAGTTAGATCAGATATTCAAAATGGTATGTGTAGTTATTGCTCTGATGTTACGCAAAAGCTAGTTTTGTTGTCATGCATTTGTGAAAGTCTTGTGAAAAGTGGTAGATTCTTCAAATATTTATCCTAAAGAGATGTAAGAAAACATTATACTAAGTTATTCTAACTGGTCTTTTGTTGTTTTTTTAGGCAAACACAATTCTTCCTCATTCTCACAGCCATCACCTGCACTGTTTACCAACGCTAATGAATATGGCAGCATCTTTTGACATCATGAAAGAGAAAAGACTGTAAGAATTACAGTTCTTAATTAAGTAATTAAGTTACATTTAAAAGCAAAAGTATTTACATCTCCTTTACCCCCTTCCAGTTGAGTATGGGGGAAAATGTACATTACAAGTTTTCTGGTGGCTGAAACAACTGCTGTCTTTATTTAAAAGCCAGCAAATGCATGCATGTAGAAATGCTCTGTGACACTTACTAGGGGAACTGTTTCCAGTGTGTGATTCCAAAAGCGTTTACGGTAACAACTTAGAAATTTGGAAAAAATGTTTTGACAGTAGATTGCAAAATTTTTTACACAGGATTTTTCTTTCTCTACGTTGTTTCACGCTTCCTTTCTTCCTTTTTTTTTGTTTGATACAATTAAACTTGCAAAATTAAAAAGACCTGTACCAGTATTTTTTCTATTGTTGTTTATCTATAGCTAATTAAATAGTAATAGTCCAAATCAATGAGTCATGATTAGTGTGAGCAAGAACAGCAAAAGTAATATTGGCATGGAGCTGGAGGTTTTTTTGTTTGGTGGATTGGGATTTTTGTTGTGGTGGGTTTTTTGTTTTGTTTTTTTTAGAAACTTTTTTCTTCTGAAGAAAAGGTTATTATAACAAAATTATCTTCAAGCTTTCTGGTGCTTTTGTTCAAATTTTGCACTGATTTTTCTTTTTTAGTTCCTTTTAGTTCCATTTAAATATAAGAATGTATGAACAGAAATTTTAAATTTAGTGCAGCATTCAGCAGAGTCATGTAGTTAAGCAGTATTAGGGAACTGTTTGGCACTCATGGTGCCAATCAAGTGAGGTATATTTAGGCATCTGACTCAGAAAATGTTTGTAGAAGCTTTTTGTTCCTCTTTGAGCTAGAAGTACCTGAATTTTAAGATTTTAAAAACATATGAGCTCTTTTATTTTACTTATTTTTTTTTTTTAGAATTTCTCTGTACATCTTCTGATCTTCCAATTTAACCTCTGAAGGGCTCTGTCCTAAAATACCATCTCCTGAGTACTTCACACAAGTTAAAGCTCCAGAGGAAAGAAGTCAGATAATTTGATAGATTCATGTATCTTTAAAATGTGTTTCTGTAACTCAGTGTTCTTACTTGCATTTCTTTGTAAAAGACCATTTCAATCAAGTGTGTTTTATTTTTTTCTAATAGTAAATTATGTGAAATATTTTTATTTACTCTTGCCATTCCTGATCTGCCTGGTCTGATCAGTATTCTGTAACTTCGTATTTTGTCTTTCATTGTGCTGTCAGTGATAATTTACAGAATCTAATAAATTTTATAAAATAAAACTGCTCTCCTAACCTATGAACATTTTTGGTTTTGGGGAAAAAAGGGTAGATTTACCTCCTCATTTTTAGACTTCATTATTTTATTTGCTCAGCAGGGTTTGTTGGTTTTTTCAACTACCACTATTTTGTAATTAACTGTTTTTGCTCCTGTCAAATGTAATTTCTATTACTTCCTGTCTTTTCCTGTAAAACTTCTTACATGCTGTTGCTGAACTGTTTAGATATAAAGAGCAGGAAACACACTGCTGATACTTCTGCCACCCTCTGGGGTGAACAAAACAGAGAATTAACAAAAAACACTTTGTTAGGCAAGGTTGATGCTAGCCCCTTTAACTCAGCTTTACTGCAGAACGTTGATCTACTGTGAGATATCACAATACTTCATCAACTTTAAATGTTGCAATACCTTACATCACTAATTAGTGGTTAGACACCACTAATTGCCGAGTAGAATAAAAGATATCAGTATGGCTCATTCTTCAGTACTGGAAATTCTGAAAGATAACTTTCTGTATAATTTCAGTACAAGACTGATGCCTGTGGAAGTATGAAAACTTTATCAATAATATTATTTTTATTTACTTCAGTATTGTTGGTCAGTTCTTTCTGGAGCTACGCTTATTTACTTTAGATACAGCAGTAGTGCTCTTTGGTTGGATGACAGCTGCTAAATACTGATTATATTTTTTTTTTTTCTTATTAGACGAGCAAGTGCTGCTCTCAACTGCTTAAAACGTTTTCATGAGATGAAGAAAAGAGGACCTAAACCTTACAGCCTTCATTTAGATCATATTATTCAGAAAGCAATCTCAACTCACCAAAAAAGGGATCAGTACCGTGTACAGAAAGACATCTTTATTTTAAAGGTATTACTGTTACTGATTTTTCAAAACTGAATTCAACTTTGTATTTTGGAGACTTAGATCCCACTCCTCAGGCTTCACTCTTTCATCTAATTCAGAGCCATTTATGCGATTTCTTTGTAGTATTTTTAATTTAATTTGTGTTGTAGATACTTGTGATAACATCTCTAGAAATTGAGGAGTGAAATTGCAGTAACTTCTAATACTTTTTAGGATCAGTTGTGGTCTCTTACTATTAGATTCTTAATGCAGTACTGTAACCATGCATTTTACTTTCAATTGCAAATTACTGTGGAGCGTACCCCTTAAAATAATTGTTACATGAACAGTAAGTATATCATGTGACAAGACTGAAAAAATGATGCAAGGAAACTTATTGTAGTTCGTCATGTCTGTATTCCAGGATACAGAGGAAGCACTTGCCATGAATCTTCGAGACAGCCAGGTTCTCAATCATAAAGAGAACCTTGACTGGAATTGGAATCTAATAGGGACCATACTGAAGGTGAGATTAAAAAGGGCATGATACTTTTTTTTTATGAAACTTCAGAAGAAATATCTCTTTCACGTTTGAGCTTTGACTTTCTAATATTAATTCCATACTGCATCCCATAATCTGTTTAATTTCAGAAAATTAGGATCTCATGGGTTTAATCAGTGCTGTTATAGTCTCTTTATAGACAACTTTTAAACTATATGCAAAGATACACGACAGTTAAATTCACAAATTTCTTAAATAAGCATGTATTAAATTTTATATAACTTTATTTGTTTAGAAATAGACTTTATAGAATTAGCTATGAAGAATTTAAAGTTGCTAATACTTTAGAATTCAGTCCAAAATAACCAGGGATACTACCACATTCAGTCACAGTGGATTTTTTTATATAAAGTGAGATGAAGGTTAAGACTGGAGGTGGGTTATAATTAGACTTCAGATGCTTGGATTGAGCTGCATAAGAAAGCTCACAATCTCATTGTGTGTTTTGAACTAATACAAATACACACATAGCATCAAGTTCACTACAAAATTTATTTGTTTTTACAAAATAAAGGAAATGTCTCTTGACAGGGAGGATATTATCTTAAATATGTTTAATGCACAGCTTCTAAGAGACTGCCTCTTTATTTTAATCAGAAAACAAACTTTCTTTGAGTAAGAAAACTTTCTGAATGAGTACTCAGTATGATCTTTGAAACAAAATAGTTCCTGTTGTTCTATTCATCAAAACCATCCTTCTGTTGTTATCCCCAAGTAATGCTTTCTTACTGTCTTATGGAATCCTACAATGGTTTGGGTTGGAAGGGACCTTAAAGATCATCCAGTTCCAACCCCCCTGCCATGAGCAGGGACACCTTCCACTAGACCAGGTTT